GTGGTGCCGTTTGTAATGATGGGCGATGCGCTGGAAGTCCGGTTCTCTTCCGTATTGTTCGCATTTTTGGCCGCTGTCTGTAACCGTCCAAGCTAAAACCCAGACAGGGAAAACAACGAGAACGAAAACACTTCGGTTTTAAAGGAGGTGTCGCAATTACGAATACTTCCCAACTTGATTCCTTCAAATACCTAGTCGACTGATTCTCAAGAAATCAACATCTAATTTCACAACTCAACTACTCAAGTAGAAATACCGTATACATAGAGCCGAGTTTTTCTATTTGAAGTTAAATCAGAAATTGAAAAAGATATGATCACGAGATTGAAAGATAGATTTTGGTCAAGTGCTACACACTGTACACATTTGTCACAGATCAATCGAATTCAAGTAAAAACGCTGATTTTTTTGTAGTACATAGATGAACCATCTGCACATAAAATTCAACTTGGCATGATGAATAAAAAATATTCTCTCGAACAGGAGACACCGCCAATAAGGAAACGCCCCTCGATTTTTTTTTTTTGCCCCAAAAACTAAGACAATTTTACGTGCATATACAGTATTGTACATACTGTAATACAAGATGCCCTTTAATCCCTTCATAATACTTCAAGATCAGAAGAGTCTCTTGATGCTATTCATGCGTCAATTACTAGTTGAATTTCTTGCTGACACATTGGTATTACAGTACAATGTATTCAAGTAGACACAGTAAAGAATACAAATTCTATCACAAGATTAGTTTCAAATGCAGGTACATATGCTGTATTACTGAAGGTGTCTCTATAAGGAAATTCAGGAAACCGGAAAAATATTCGTCGAAGAGAACCACTCTGTGACCCCCAAAAATTCGTAACACAGAGAAAATCGTTTTAAAAAAAAGAGAGAGAGATAAATAATCTATCTGACTATGTATAAATATATCAGATCAAGTTGAATAGATGTGTTTAGAGACGGATATCTAAGCGATTGAATCTTCATTTTTGCATCGCAGTTTTTTTTAGGAAAATTCCGTCGCAGTTTCTAAACACGAACCTCATCTTTTGTGCGCTCCAGGTCCTGCTCCAACTGAGCCGCGCGCTCCAGCGATACCCGCAATCGCTCTCGAACCTGCAAAGGCAGGATGATTACGTCAATCCAGGGACGAAGGCAGTGGTGCCGTTTGTAATGATGGGCGATGCGCTGGAAGTCCGGTTCTCTTCCGTATTGTTCGCATTTTTGGCCGCTGTCTGTAACCGTCCAAGCTAAAACCCAGACAGGGAAAACAACGAGAACGAAACCACTTCGGCTTTAAAGGAGGTGTCGCAATTACGAATACTTCCCAACTTGATTCCTTCAAATACCTAGTCGACTGATTCTCATGAAATCAACATCTAATTTCACAATTCAAGTAGAAATACCGTATACGTAGGGCCGATTTTTTCAATTTGAAGTTAAATCAGAAATTTAAAAAAGATATTATCACGAGATTGAAAGATAGATTTTGGTCAAGTACTACACACTGTACACATTTGTCACAGATCAATCGAATTCAAATAAAAACGCTGATTTTTGTAGTAGATGATCCATCTGCACATAAAAGTCAACTTGGCATGATGAATAAAAAACTATTCTCTCGAACAGGAGACACCGCCAATTAGGAAACGCCCCTCGATTTATCTGGCCAAAAACGAAGACAATTTTACGTGCATATATTGTACATAATACAAGATGCCCTTTAATCCCTTCACAATACTTCAAGATCAGAAGAGTCTCTTGATGCTATTCATGCGTCGATGACTAGTCAAATGTCTTGCCGACACATTGGTATTACAATGTGTCGGCAAGACATTTATTCAAGTAGACACAGTAAAGAATACAAATTCTATCACAAGATTAGTTTCAAATGCAGGTACATATGCTGTATTACTGAAGATGGACTCTTTATAAGGAAATTCAGGAAACCGGAAAAATATTAGTCGAATGGAACCCCTATGCGAAGCGAAGAGAACCACTCTGTGACCCCCAAAAATTCGTAACACAGAGAAAATTGTTAAAAAAAGAGAGAGAGAGAGAGAGAATATCTATCTGACTATGCATACATATATGAGATATATCAGATCAAGTTGAATACATGTGTTTAGAAACGGACATCTAAGCGATTGAATCTTCATTTCTGCATCGCAGTTTTTTTGAGGAAAATTCCGTCGCAGTTTTTAAACACGAACCTCATCTTTTGTGCGCTCCAGGTCCTGCTCCAACTGAGCCGCGCGCTCCAGCGATACCCGCAATCGCTCTCGAACCTGCAAAGGCAGGATGATTACGTCAATCCAGGGACGAAGGCATTTGACAGAGGGTCAAGAACGGGTATCGGGAATACAACGAGACTGACCTTTTCGTCCAAAGCTTTGTGATGCTCGAAAAGAGACTTCAAAGCCTTCAGAACTTCCACTTCTGACGAAACGCCGGACTGGCTTTGTGCTTGCCGTCGCACCACTGTCATTCTCAAGCTTCGCTCGTGTCGCGAAACGAGACACTCCAGGTGTTCCAGGAGCAGCTGGAAAGTTTACAGGAACACGGAACGAGGTAATTTCGTGCAAATTAAATTACGAAGTTAGCTTCGTATGCGACATGCAACCGACAACCTCCATGACTTCATCCGAGAACAGTTTGAAAATGAAGTTCACGTACATGAATCGGAATTTCTCAACCTTTCTAATACGCACAGTCCCATTGACTTGCTACATGTTTTACAAGATGGAAACATCAATGGCATTCCGAAAATCACAGAAACATCCAAATTCCGCTTGACAAAAATAACAACTTCCAAGACGTGTTTTGGTAAAATAAAAAGTTAGCTCTACAGATTCCCACGAGTACCCCATTTAAGCAGGATTTCATCGTAGACCTCCTCATTAATGTTGCTCATACCTGCGGCAGAGTGCCACATATCTAAGCAGTTCCAATTGATGTCCATGAAAATCTTACAACAGGTGTTCTGAAATATTCATGAGGTTCTCAGATCGTACTCGAAAACCCAGGAGTGAAAGCGTTAAACTGCAGTGCAGTATCCTGAATTTTCCCTCGCGAAAAAAATGTGAAGCTTGAAAAGGGGAAATAAAGGATTTAAAATAATTACTCCTTTGATAATTAGATCCGTTTTTCGGCTAGCTGAGGTATTTAAAGGTAAGAATAGGTACATAATGGACCTATTTCGTCCGGAAAGGAAAAATTTTCGGGGTAGATATTAAAAGAAAACATACTTAATTACAATATGAACCGTCTCGACTTAAAAAAAAAAAACGACTTTGCGTATGATCCCATCACTGGCAATTCCCGCATAATCCTAAGCATATAATTCCTATAACGATTCTAAGACATTCTGTATATTCGGAAAACTATCGCACTGCAAGATTACAACATTTCCGGCACTGGTTGCAAAGCAGTTCAATTTTTAAAGCTGGTGAATAAGTCTTGCCACTCTTCAGCGTTTCACGTCAGGGTTTTGTTGTAAGTATAAGGAGAGGCAACGTTTTGCAGAGTTCGCAGAGATTATTAAATTGCAATACCGCATTTGATAATCTAGACTCTAGAGTCTAGGCCCCTGTTATGATTTTTCACAAAGGCTGATTATGATTATTCAGAGAAAACAGAGAGTCGGCATGGCGCAATAACACGAACAAACCTAAATAAGGTCTTCCTGCCACATTTACTAGCTCCACGACTTTGCAGACTGTCAAATTACTTGCAACTGAAATATTCGCGAAAATTCTCGGGATTTGGCAATCATGTTCCATCAACAAGTTTTTTGATCTGGATTTTTACAGCGATGTTGAATGTGGCGACGATTGCCCACAATTTTCAATCAGCGTATTAAATTTGAAAAAAAAAAAACCGTCGAAAACGGAGATACAGTATGCTTTTTCCAAGTCTCACAATTGATCCCCAAGTTATACCAGAGAGGAAATTCAAATGCAGTACTGCATTCAAAGAACTTCATTTTTACGCAGTGAAAAGCATTTCACAACATCCCTCTCAACTTTAAATCACGTAGTTAACCAATCCTCTTTTATCTTTTTTTTTACCCCAATAACTGCTTCTCGTCACATGACAGTAATGGACTAAGCATCTCATTTTTGCCCCGTGAATGGGAACTTGACTTGACGAAAACCCCTCGCAGACAAGGAACAACGTAGTGCCAAGGGCACGTCATAACGATGGATTCACAGAGTGCATCTCCGGTACTCCCACTCGTTTGGTATTCCGGGCGACAGAGGCAATTCTGAGGATTCAATCTTTCCTCCTACGAACATGTCTACTTCTCCAATCCGACCCGACCTTCCTATTCCCATGCGTCAACACGAAGACAAGAGCGAAAATAAAAAGAGAAGAAAGGGCACTGCGACCGATTTCACGCATTCAGGTCACATGCCGAGGAGGGCAAGGCGCAGTTTTTGAGTTACTGCACCCCCTTTTTTCGTACCGCTTCAAAGACGCCTCACACACTCGCACGAATTTATGAAAAATGGAAAGACGAAGTTGTCCTCTCCATTTTAGTGTGCAGCACCTCAGGAAAGGCGCGTGAGATGAACCAGTAAACTTTTCCGTCTTCGTCTGAATACTGTACTTCCGTCGGAAGAAATAATGATAAAAAATGGGGCTATCCAACGCCATGAATATCAATTATTCATCGATGCCGAGAGCGACTTCCGGTAAAACCGCACTATGTGAAACCCTTCGGAAAGCATCTACGAAGGTGAAAAATCTGTCAAAATATTTCTGAGATTTCGGAGGCCGAAGTCGAACAATTTTTAAAGCTATGAACGAGAAGTGTCGAGAAAATTTACGAGTATGGAATTTGTCCACCTTCTCCTCATGAAATATAAGTCTTGTCTGCTGGACGATGACGCACACAATTAATGCATGATCTTGCTTCGTTAATTATTGTCCGACAAGTTTTTCTACCAGGTTGAAATACTGCATAAGAAAACTAAATGTTGAAGATGCAACGAATCACCAGAAAGAATTGATACTGATATAACTGCGTTTTCATGTTAAATTAATTTAGTCAACCAAAACCAAGTAATTCAAGAATTTCGCGTGATTAGTCTCCAGTCTTCTGACCTCAAATCATTTATCGTGTCAGTGAAGGTCAATTAAAAAGGTTTTCCTAGTCATAAGGAATGAAGATAATCTTTGATTAAATAAACGGAAGCTTACGGTGAGTTTTGGCATTAATCTCTCTCAGAGTGTGGGTATTCTGATAGAATCTCGGCACCCTAAGAACTTCATGTTGAAAGCCAGACGAAGCTTTCGTTTGAACTTCGATCTCTTTCCAAAAAATAAAATAAACGAATACGAACTATTTGAACGGTACGTTGTTCCAAATGATCAAAAGGCTCTTAAAAAATTGAGTCCTGGGTTAAAAAAACACGAACTTTATAAAAACTCAATTTTAACTGTATCAATTCAAGTCTTGCAAATCCAAACGTTCGAAAGCGGGGAATTGAAGACAGGGTCCGAAGTGTGAACAAGAATGAATTAAAAGAAGTAGCGTTTTATACTTGTATCACGACCCCTTTTAAACAGCGTCATTTCAGTCTTGAATCCTCAAATCTGCTCCTTGCTCCACCTCTGAACCACCAAATGGGAGGATCGTCAGAACATTGTACTGTACATTTGCTCGGATCGTCATCCACGCACGATTCTTCCGCAGCAGCCGACCACCCGGGTTTCCTGTGCTAATTTTACGCCGACATGGCCGTAAACTCCCATAGACGTCAAACGAGACGACCCAGACACATGAGAGCATAAAGATTATCACACGAAGCCTCATCAAAAACGCCGACGAAGACAAATTTCCGGGGGAAGCGGGAAGTATAAAATGTTTCTCTCTCCGAAATAAGCTCGCTTGGATTCTCACGAGGGGCGAACAAAATTGTTGCAACGGAAAAATTTCAGAAGCATTTCTACCATTATACTGTAGCTATTTTTAATTAACCGTTGCAACGCTAATTTATTGATCGAAACTAAGTTGTTGCATATAGTAGAAGACACCAGTTCAAAGAACAACGAAAATTTCAGCTGGAAAATGTGCACTTGAATGATCCCAAGATAATTATATGTTGAAAGAATCCGGAAAAGAATTCCACGAGTTTCCGTAAAAAGTGGACAACATGTTTTACAACGAAAGAAAAAAATGAAAATTACCCATGCCTCTTCTTAAAAAAAAAAAACCTCTTAGGTTTACTGAACAATTCTTGCCCTCAGAAGAGAATGCCATAATGGAATCTCAGTTTCATGGAAATTAATACAAGGTAAAGTACTGTATCTACGAACCATTGTTTGTCCAGAGTTTCATTAAAACGAAGAGCAAAAAAAAAAAAAAAAAACCGAACAAATGAATCCGTGGGTGATTCCAGGACAAATCCCGGATAGTCTCAAGCATATACGAGGGGTTACACGGTTCTGCGCGGACTTGAAATGATTTGAACACCAGGGATTTTTAAAAACATGTTTCTCATGTTCACCAGTTCCAAGTGGCTAGGCAAACACCTTCTCAACGTAATCACCACCAATGTGTACACAGTTTTCAGTCCTTTTGATCCATGTGTTGAGGCAGGCCTTGAAGTGTTCAGTTGCTAAATTTTGAACCTCCCCAAGAAAAGTAGCAACAAGCTTATCCCTGGTTTCGAAGAGTCGGCCTCTCATAAGGGCTTCATCAGCTTCGGAAAGAGCCAAAAGTCAGAGGGGACCAGGTGAGGGGAGTAGGGTGGTGGTGTCAAGACATTCAGTCAGGCCCGATTCCTCCGGGCAACAGACGGTGAACTTCACTTTATGGGCTTGGGGCATTGACATGGTGGAACAGTTCCTATTTCGACACATGGATCAAAATGGCTGAGAAGTGTGAGCGAATTGGCTGCGATTAGATAAAAAAAACTGTCTGCCTAGCCTCTGGTACGAGTATACCGGTGAACATGACAGAAATATTGGGAAAAAACAATTCCTGTTGTTCAGATCATTTCAATTCCGCATCGACACGATTCTGCGCGGAATCATGACGCCTCTCGCATGCTTGAATGAGTCCGCGGGGAAATGTGTAACCCTTCGTATTAATACTCTCTCCTCATTTGTCCGTTGTAATCCTATCCTCCTTATAGGAGGTTCCTATTTCTATACAAGGCTTTGTGAGGTAGTCAAAATTGAAAAAGGCAACTTCGCATAACTCCATCTCAAAATTTCACAGGGAAAATATTGACTTGGAAAAATAATTGATCAGGAAATGCCTCACAGACTCCGCGATAGATTTCCTTCTGATTTCAAAAATGGCCGAATAAGTCAAACACTTTGAAGGATGTGTTAGGGACTTCGTTGCAAATTTCAGCGAATTCTGCCTTTTTCCGTGATAGCTACTAAACGCCTTCATTTTCACCAAAACACGAACTTCCTCACGAACCTACTGGAGGTTCCTAGTTCTAGGAAAAGGAAAGTTTACTCACTCTGGTGTTGTTCCGCTCAGCTTTGAGCTCCGTGATCTCTTCTTCTTTCTCCAACAGTTGCTCCCGGCACTGGTTCAGCTCCTTGTTCATCGTGGCGAACTCCTGCGGAAATGCGATAAGGAAACAGCAAGATTCGTTAGGTCTGGTTTCCAATTGCGGACACAAGAGCGTCTTTAAGACTCTCCAGGTTTTCTCGAAAATACAGAAGAAACGACTGATCTTTATCAGCAGCACGTCCCATCATCATCAAATTCAGTACTTACCGGCAAATTCATCAAGATGAGATAAATTCGGAGATAACGAGAATTTCGCTTTCTGTCATTGCGAGGCATTGACGAATGAAATCCGTACAAATTATTAATGGCTAACCGCGAAGAAAAAAAAAACATCAAGAGAAACAGTATTCGCAGGCTACTTGATCACCACCGAAAACTTGGATCAACAACCCATGCCATGTAAGGTTTGGCCATTCATTCATTAAATGCTTTTCGCCATCTGATGTTCATCCTTCTCGCGAGCAATCTTTCTTCGTGCTCAAAGCGCGTATTTTCAAAAGAACGAAAAAGTGTCGGCGCTTTTCAAAGAGAGTTTTGAACTAGCGTACTCGTTGTCGACAGCTGCATTCGAATACACAAATAAACGGGAGGCGTCGAGAAGGCAGCACTCTACTCCGTCACGTGCCAACTTATTACTCGAACTGTTTTTCGACAGCTGCAAAAACTCGGTCGTATCAAGACAAAGACGGAAATTCGCTGAATTCCGGTTCCATCTGACTGCAGTGATATTTTTTTCCCTTGACGCATTAGCATTTAATCAGGGATCATCGGAACAATGTAAGATGTACTCAGACAGACAAAAGTTAGCAAACGTTTCGTTAGCGCTCAGTGATACATACCGCATTATTTTTGAAACACATATTCAAGCAGACTGATCGCTATCGATTATTTTCTCTCTCGCCAGCTACAATTTCAAATATTGATTTTTATTTCCAAAACTTTGGGATAACCAAAAGATGAACAAAAATACAAATATCGGCCAAAATAAAAACTCGGTAAAAAAAAGTAATTTTGAGCTTTCCTCTGATCACACGATGCATTCACACTAACATAGGCTGCAACCGAGTTCTTCAGTGTCTGAAAAGTACGGCTTCGACTAAATTGAATACGGTACTGTATACCGTACTACAATATCTCAACAGGCATCAACCGAACAGGGGATCTTCGATTTGATTTCAAACTGCGTCAAATAAAAATTTCAATACTTCACATGAAATTGATTCTTCAAAAACGACGAATTCCCAAAAATGTTCTCGAATCCCGCTCCCCATTCCCGACGGGCGTACTGGAACCATTTCCCTGGAACTCTTCACGAATTCCACCCAACTTTCGCACGTCCGAGATGAAAATGAATGCACCCCCACGGTTCCGGGGAGAGGAATAAATTCCCCACGTCTTTATCATCCCTATTCATCGATCCCGCAAGTGGGCAACGCATGAAGTGGGTCCTTCATGGCCCTCGTTGACGATCCGAAGAGACTCCGTGGTCGTAAGAATCTAACGAGTGGGGAATTCCGGAGTTCTCACTTCAATGCATCGGCATTATTCCGCGCATTTAATACAGATGCTTTGTTTCCCATGCACCCTCTTCATCTCCAATCACACGATTTTCTCAACGAAAAACAAATTTACCGTAATAACAATTCCGTTTTCAGGAATAGTCATGAAATCCCAGCATTTTGGAATCATGAAGCGAATATATTGTAATATCGACGACGTCATTTTAGTTAAGAAGTTACCTATTCTGGGACGACCTATTTTCTCGATCCTGTATTTTAATGCATTAGAGTAGGCCGCAATGCTCAGAAAATGCTTTATTTCCTGTACGCTGAAAACAAGGCTGACAAAAATGCGGTTTCAGAAAAAGGCACATATTTTTCCGATGCGATTTCCTTATGGTAGCTTAAATCAAGTATTAACGTACATGCACTTTTCTACTACAGAAACCATCACTCAAATTGAAATTTCGACGGGATTTCCCCGGCGCAGACATAAGTGCCCTCTTTTCCCTTCAGTATTTTTCGTATTTTCTACAAACTATACAGGATGCTTTTTCTCATATCCTGCAAAAAATAAGGGAGCTGTCCATATTATCGCGAACAAAGCGAGCGAAAAAAAAAAAGCCATGGAAAATATATGTACACACCGAGTTTATTTCCGACAACGCAAATAAAATTCCGACCCATGCATAAGTCTTCAATGCTCGTCCTCAACCCCGGTGGGTGTTACCAGACCCTCGTTCATTGGAAGACATTCCCCCGTCCCCTTCACAAACACACGTAGTCTCGACGAAGATAGATTCCCCACACGACACCGGGCTCTCGTGGGCGGACAATGTTTGCCAGGGAATCCAGGCCAGTGTCATTGCAATTCCATCCTAGTTTTACGGCATCGTTCTGTTTCGCGACGAACGGCAGCAGAAATAAATATAAAAGGACTAAATATAAAAGTAAACTACAGAAAAATGCGTCTACTTCGTAGCTTGATGTTTAAATCTGGGAGGAAGAACATGCACCTGAATCGTTATACAGTACTACATAATATTCCAGAACTACCGTCTCAAAATAATTGAATAAGTTGACTAATCAGGGCTAAAAAAACTCAACCGAAGCAATCCAATCAAAAGAGGGAACCTGCATTACAATACGGAAGTACAAATTTACCTCGTAAATTCATGCGTGAATCTGCATTCAACCTTGGTACACCCGATTCTCAATCAGCCCCAGAATAATCGAATTAATCAAATAATCCAAACAAAAATCTTTGAAGCAATAAAACGAAACTTCAACGCTTAATCAAACATCAGCGAGTGACTAACGTCGTCCACTTAATGAAGACGATTACAGGATTTTCAGCAAGCGGAAAAACCTACACATTCGACTTCTCAATACGTATACTGTATTTCGGGAACACCGTCACATGATTAAAAACTTTAGTGACCAACTCAGAAGCTCTCACATTCTGATTTACCGTAAATTACCACCACTTGCATGTTTCAAAAATTAACCCCATGACACGAATTATATTTACCCTACCGAAGAGTGCGCGTTTTATGATGCACCCAATATCGACGAGGACATTCGTCGACGTTGTCGAGCGATGGAGGGAATTCTCGGAAACAATGGTTCGGGATCATTCTGAGAAATGCGCCATAGGATCCACTTATTGAGGCAATGAATGTTCGTTTCATGTAACGAAAGAGAAAATACGATGCCTACATCATCGTCCGATTCCGTCATTAATCACACACCACTGATGAATAGGTATACTCTATCTCGAACAAAAACTATCCCATGACGACTCCGACGGAAACTCAATACAGTAAAACCTCGATTATTCAGTCATTGATTAACCGCGAGCATTCATCCCATGTTTATGTGGCGAAGTAAAGCGACACAATTCCAATTTTATGAGCTACATTTCCCAAGGATCAACTTCAATTTCACATGGAAATTCATTGACTATTCCACCGAAATATTTCAATCATCCCACACGAGTAACACGACTCTTATCAATTTTATTTTATTTACAAAATTAAAGTTGGGATGTGGGACAAGCTTTGTTCTTTGATAATGGCGGGAATGTCGAGAATGGAGTACCCCGTCCGTAGAAGGAAGAATCATTCAACTCATATTCATTCTCGAGTAAACTTTCAATTAAAGTATTCTTCAATTATTCAAGGATTCTCAGCGAAGGCGACCAATATTTAATCCGGATAATCGAGATACTCGAAATTCGAGGCCATAACTTCATTTCTTCCTCTTAAGTCTAGGAAAGGATGAAGAGAGTTGGTCTTGGACCAGATAGGCACCATTTGCGCAACTACAATATACAGTAACACCAAAATATATCTAAAATATAATAATGTTAGTTACATCATTTCCTAAAGAAAGGATTGCGGAAGAAACAGATGACTGAAGTCAACACAAGAACTACCAGAAAACTGACGAAATTTCAGAAATTAAAATACAGGTCTTTACTTTTTCTTCTTATGTACAGTACTCAAGAAAAGAGAAGCGCAACAATTACAAACGAATCACAGAATTTTCAAAATGACTTCATGAGGACATGCATTTTCTCAATTTTTTTTTTAACGCGGAAAATGTTTCAATTTAGGTGAAGACACCCGGTAATCAGTCCGGATCATCGACATTTTCTCGTCATTGCATCCGCCTTTCAAGACAGCTTCTGATAAACTGGCGAAATATGGGAAAGAACCTTCAACTATCTCGTACAACCACGGACAATAAAGCGAGCCTTCTTTCGGACTCGGATTCGTAGCCAAGTTACGGGGGCTCGCAAGTGTCAGTCAGATGCATCACTTGTTGCATATATTTATCCCTGGGATAGCATTTCCGTGACCTGCATCGCTTTTTCTGAGACAGGAGTCGGAACGCCGTTTTTAAGCTTCAATAAACATGAATGAGCCGTCACTCTTCGTTCTCCTCAAACTATGAGTTCAACATAGAGGAGGAAATTTCCCGAGTACGATATTTCGCGCGTCCGAAATGACAAGGAGAGATTGAACGAATCCGCTGATCGAAACCGTTCAACCGTGTCCCATTTGCAGCTTTATTATCTTTGACAAGACAGGAAATCATGAATAAATTGCTGAGTAAAATAAAGATGAATGTTCGAATATAGCATTATGGTAATTCACAAGTTCGATGAGATATAGCAATATCCGAGGGACGAAATTCCATGTTTATTTGTGAAAATCCCTCTATTTCTTCGGAAAAGTGTCCTCGCAGAAATTTCGAATTCGATACAGAAGTTCCGTTATAAAAGTCGAAAAGATTTTCAAATGATTCCTAGATTAGATCTGTTTAAGTATCCCCCGTTTATTACTACAGTATTCCAGTATAAATTTTTTTTTATTCACTGTCAATCACATTTTCGAAAAACTTTCCCCAAGAAACTCTTGATCTGCACTTTTCCCTGTCGCCATAAAATATCTGTACAATATTAATTGCGGACAAAGTTCGCATGGGAATGCTAGAAATTTCTTAGAATTTCAAAACAGAGATACATGTACAGCAATGTACTGTACAGTACTTGCATCAGACTACGATGAATATCAGGAATGGATGGATTTTCTTAAATCATCTTTCAAGTAAAGAAGTAAACTTTCTCAACAATACGACGGTTCCGTGAAATGGATACTGATACCCGTAAATCATAAAATCTGATAAATCTAAATATTGTATCCTTATATTGTACAGTACATTCTATCAAACTAAAAGTCGGAAGAAACGTCTGATAAGCCCGACAAACTG